AGTGTCCCGTCTATTAAACTTTCAGTGGCCGCTTATAAGTATTGTTATTGAAACCCCTGATAATAACACCTTTATTTAGACACAATAGTGTTTAGAGCTGAACAGCCTGTGGGGTCGTGTATAAATCCAAATAAACTGTAAATGAGGTAAATTCAAATCATTATGGTTTTTTGAGGAGAGGGGAAAACCGGAGTACCAAAAAAAAAACCGCTCGGAGCAGAGAAGAGAACCAACTAACTCAATCCACATATAACGCAGGGTCCGGGAATTGAACCCGGGACACATTGGTGGAAGGCGAGCGCTCTCACCACTACGCCAACCCTGCTCCCCTGGAGGATAAAGTTAGACCACTGACCCCTGAGAGTGGCTAGAATGTATTATTTCCTTACAACAATACCTATGAATCACACTTTAAGGTCACAAGAATAAAGAAAATTATCACCAACCAAAAGTTCTAGATTGTTATACAGATTCTCCCTGTCTGCACCATAGGAAATGTATAGAGAGCAGTATGAGAATGTGTGTACTGATGTTAGGGCATGAAGGTTTAAGCCCTATCCAATTTGGTTATAAATTAAACCGGTTTGATCAATCACAATTTAGTTACATGGTTTATGAGTGCTTACTTGTAACTTATATTTCATCTGAAGGTCACACAGAAAAGGCTGTTGCCTGCCTGCAGGCCATGGTGGAATTGAACTGTTTTTGTTCACCTGAGTTGGAGAGGAACACTCCAGTTACTGGACAGATGGCTTTTTTGGAGACATTTTGGGACAGTGGTCAGCCAAGGTGTAGTTTGTTTATGAATTAATCTGTCTCATTTCAGAATTAAAGTTGATCCACTCTACTTTTCTTTCCTTGCTAAGGATTCCATTTTGAATTAGTGAGAATTATCATTTAACATTAATGTATACGGAATTTTTTGTCAACCAATTGAATTTATTTTGTTTTTCTCAGGTAATCAAGTTTTAGAATCCAACTTGCAGTTTTATAATTTTCAATAATCAATTTTTTTGAAATTGTAGGTTTGGGGAAGACGGTGCAAGTGGTTGGAAGTCATGGACGGCCCAAGGAAACAGGACTGATTCATCTAAATTCTTTGATGTCCAGAAAATTTTTAAGGAAAGTTATGGTAATGCGGCAGATGAGAATGATTCTCTTAATGATGATGATGACTTTGCCATCGATAAAGAGCAACCTTTGTGGAGAAATTGGATTCAGGTTGAATTGAACAGGCAGAGGAAACACTTGCATCCATGGCTACCAGATAAGGAAGCAGGAGAAACAGAGGATGACTGTGATGATGCTGAGAGACTTGTTTTGTTCGACGACATTAGTTCAAGTTTGTTCAAAATTGCTGACACTGGGAACAAGCTTAAACTTGTGTTAACTTTCTTGAAGCTGCTTGGAGTGCCAGTACCTTGTATGACCTCATCAACACACATAAATGTACAACAATTCTTGAACACTTCTTTAGAACACAAGTCACAATTACTAGAAACTGGAATATCTGCTATTTCTCAATGCCTTGGTTTACAGCAGTCATGCTACTGGGATGAGGGCATCTTTACCAATACAAGTGATTTCCAGTGGCCATCTACAAAGGCTTTGATTTTTATTAGGAACATCTTTGTACAAAGTTTTCCAGTGTTTGAAGGATCAACAAAGAGCTTCCTAATGGTCTTGTGGCTTTGGTTTGAGTTTGGTCTAACTCAGAAAGAGCTATCACCAAAACTGAGTAAGAAGAAGTACAAAGACGTCCGAAAATTGGCCAAGAGCCTTCTGAAACAACCAGAAAGCAGGTTTGTTGACAATTTTTTAGTAGATGATTTGTTTTTAAGGTAGTTTTGATAGTAGCTATATGCCCACAAATGCCACTTTGGGTTAATTGCAGGAATGATCTGAAGCTATGGCAAGCTTTTGCTGAGATAGAGTGGTTGTCTGGCAACAGAGAAGAAGCACGCAGATTGTTTGACTCCACTCTTATGATGGCTGGTGAAATGTTTCCTGAGGAACAGAGCAGGAGGGCGGCTTTGGTACCTCTTGTCAGGTTTGACAGAACTGTTACATTTGAATAATGAAGCTATGTATTTCTTTTTTTCTGTGAAGCATTTACTTACTTCTTTGTTAACCTTTATTTTAGGTCATATGTTGAGCTTGAAGTTGGCATCACATTAAATTCAAAAGAAGACCAGTCAAGTGAAGGAAGCAAGAAAGCATTACAGATCTTGACCTCATTTGCAGACGGAGCAAGGATTCAACCATCTGCATCTGACATGTCAACTTCAGATCTGTCTTCTGTTCAACTACTGAAGGCTCATAGAATCTACCAGAAGTTGCACCGAAACATTGTAGAAACAATTGAACCCCGAGACAGCAAGGAGTTACTAGCTGAGTGCAGTATAGCCACAGGAAGTGTTGCCGTGCATTTAGAAGCTTGCATTGCATTGTTTGAGTATTTGAGCAGTAGCATCCAAAGTTTGTTATCCATGTGCAATGAATTCATTTCAATGATATCACCTGGTGTATCAAGCCCAACTAGTCTCAGAGAGATGGACATTGAACTCATTTTGACTTTTTACGTGAAATTATTTCGATTTCACAGCAAAATGGGCCAAACTCTTCCACTGAAAGACATCAGACACATTGCACTCTCTGCACTGGAAAGGTTTCCAGATAATCCAAAGTTCTTTTCCTTTTACATTGAGAGAGAATCAAAGTCTATTCTCACTGGTGAATTAAGAAGGACGCTTGACAGAGCCACCTTAAGGGCTAAGACACCTGTGCCATGGATCTTTGCCCTGTATCATGAGCAGTTGCGTACAGAGTCCATGGTCTCTGTCATGGAATGTACTGATTTACCCTCTCTAGCAGCAGAGAAAGGTGCTGCTGCTGTAACTTCCCTTCCAGTTACGGGTGTGGTTCATCGCCAGTATGCACTGTTTGAAAGAGCAGTGAGCAGTCCCTCTGGCAGACACTGTGTGGCTTTGTGGAGAATGTACATGGAATTTGAGGCATGTAGAAATGTCTGCATTGCAGCCACTGCTTTTTTTATTAATATTTTTATTGTCAAATATTAAGGTCAGATGACCAAATACCGGTATCTAAGTTTTATTTGTTCGAAGTAAAGAGATGGAAATTTTTTTAATGAGTCCAACAACAGATTTTTTTGTTCTGTTCCCTGGTTCCACAACAGAGAACATACAAAACCCTTGTGGTAGGTTGAGAATCAATGACATTGAGATCATGTTACTGACCTGTAAAATAATACATAAAATATATGATTTAAAAGTAATATTTTGTAGTTTTGGCATAACCAAACAATTGTAAGATGCTGAACCCAAACACTTTAAAATTTCTCGTAGGCAAAACATCAAAAAGAGAAAGTGCAGTCAGTGTTTTATCAAGCAATACAAAACTGTCCATGGGCTAAGGTAAATAAGACTCAATAAGTCATATGGTAACATTATTTGATATGGTAACATTGTTTGATAGTCTTATATTTTATTATATTTTATTATATTTTATTATATTTTAGTATAATTTCAGAGCTGAGCAAAGAGTTTCCAGCAATCTGATTGGTCAAGCAGTTCCTTATATGACGCTGTATAAACCACTCCATCTCTCACCAC